ATAAACTCCATAATTCTAAACTTTCTCCAGATCAAACAGAAAAGAAAGAAAATGGTTTGAGTAAACTTGAAAAGGATATGCAGATTCATGCTGATGATAATCCACAGTTATACAATATAACAGTAGATAAAAATCTTACTACATCTACTGAACATAATCATATAGATTTATTCTCATCAATAAAAGAAATTGAAACTAGTACGTATAGTGACAAAAATTTCTCAGAAAAAACTATTCCAAGTTCACAGATCAATAATGCGTCTGTAACTACATCATTATCTTCTAATAGTGAAATGGATACAGATGATCTGAATATGTATACAAAAAATAAAAGAAAATATATTGATAAAAGTATAGCTGTATATCAATCTGCTTCGAAAAAATATAAAAATACTATGACTGAAATTAAAAATGATGAAGTAGAAAATAATAAAGCCATTGCATCAAATTCAGAAAAAGTTGATGAAGATGAAATCTATGATATTTTGTTAAATAATAGTTTTAAACATAAAGACAATTTTAAAGAACAAGATATAGATAATTGTAACAATGATAATTCAAAAACTCAAATTACTAATAATGAAAGCTTTAATAATGATTACTCCAATATTTTTAACTTAGTTTCTCCTGAAATATCTGATATCGAAAACCAAAATGACAGTCCTTTTAAATTATCAACCAATCCGGATTCTATTGTAATATCCTCTAGTCCAGATATAGATATAAACAGTCAAGATATTAACAACTTCAATAAAAATGATAGCCTTGGTGTTCTAAGTTCTAAAATACAAGAATCTGATGATGAATTGCACTATACTTTTCCGAATGATATACACTTTTCAAATATTAATATCGATAACAAAATTGAACATATTACTTTGAATAATAAAACATTGCAAATTTGTTCAAAAAACAAAAAATCACGAAAAAGATGTAAATCTGAAGGGAATTTACAAATTAATTACACAGCTGAAGAAAATGATAAACTTGATAAATTCAATAATATGAACAGTCTTCAATGCAACAAAGAAGATAACAAGTTGATTATAAAAAATAAATTATTTACTATAACTGAAAATAATATTTTACCACCAAATTATGATATTATGGATACTGCTGAGCTTCATGTATGTCCATTAATTATTTCATTCCTATAATTTCTGATATTTTCTGGTAATTGTATATATTATTTCTTTTTAGAAGGAAATGCAGAAATATGGATTAAAGATACAAAACCGTAATAAAAATATTAAATTATTAACATATATTTATAAAGAATTACATCCTACTATCGATTTATCTGAAACAATAGATACAAGTGGTAAAAATATGTATAATGAATACGAAGGGCCACAAAAAAAAAAATTAAAGGTAGATATTAATTTATCGGATAAATACAGTAACATTGAACGTGAATGTAATGTATCTTCCTTCAAAAATTGGTATGTGTTTAATAAAATAATGCTTGTGTGTGTGCGTGCGTGTGTGCATACACGAATATATTATATTATATTATGCATATAGTATTTTTTAAATATTATAAAATTATTTAAGGAATTCAAATGATTATTCCAGGAGAATGGAAACTAAAGCAGAATATATGAACAATGTTGAAAACTTAATTGCATTAAGTGATTGTGATAGTATAAAAGAAGCATTTTCAAAGTTAATAGAATTTAATAAAGATTTACATAATAAAATTTTGCAATATGAACCATTGAATATAGAATTGTTGCATCAAATATTAAAAACAAATGGTTTCAAGTGTAAAATTAATGCTCTCATTGATTTTTTGGATGAACAGGTATTCCTTCCTTCATTATTTTTGTATAATATACTTTTCTTTACAGATATTTATAATAATTTTTTTATAAGTTTCAATAATAGTTCTTATAATAACTAAATAATAATTAATAATTTGTTTCAGTGCATTACGTTTTATTTGCCAGAGAATAAAACAAAAATCAAAAATAGAAAATAAGAAATAAAATTAATTTTAATAAAATTAGACTATATATGAATATTTATGATTATTATGCTTTTCGTATAAGTGTAGATACATATACATATAGATACAATGAATAACGGCACATTTTTAATGAAATTATATTTGGTATAAGAAAAAATTATAGTAAATAAACAAATCACATAATATTCATACGCATTTTATACAATTTAAACGCTTATTTTATGGATTATTTCTTTTATATTAAGTAAAACGTTTTTATCGCTTTCAAAATTTACTAATGTACACATATGATGTTAGTGCATTATGATTAGTATTTTTCGTTGTATTTATTTAGCAATTGCGAATCCTATACGATTATTTTCCATATCGAATTCAGTATAATAACGTCCAATAAATACATCACCAAGAATCCATAATGGTCCATTAGGTGGAGGAATATCCATACCCATAAATCCACTCAAACAAATAGTCTTACCAAATTGTGTAACCTATACAGTAAAATAGACATAAATCATTATTATTTTATATCACATTATCCAAATTTACATAGTTACAAATCTACCAACCTTTAAAACATAATCATTACCAGTCAAGGAAAAGGTATGTCCACCAAGTACAAATTTAATCTCAGGCAGTTGTTCGATAGAATTACAGTCGACCTTTAAACAGATAATAATCATAATATTGAGTTGATATATCATAATATTAAATAATAATCATATTATAATAAGAAATTTTTATATTTACCATTGCTTCTCCTGCTACAATGGGTGTTGCGCCAATTTGTTTATTTATCGCCTGAATTTCTTCTACTGGTCCTGCTATTAATGATGTACCTGTATCTGCAATAGCTTCACAACCATTTGCACAAAATACGCTATCACCAACTTCAACTCTATAATTAAATGATATCGACACAACATCTTTTATTACAATAATATCAATGAAATAACATTACGTAATATTAATCATATAAACTATACCTATCCATTCTAAATTGCCAGTATGCTTTACGATCTACAGGAACATATGTAAAATCACCTTCATAATGATTAGGATCTGAGCCTCCCAATATCATTTCTCCGCCTACCGGTGCTGAAGGATCTCTGAATAGATTTAAAAATATAAAATAAAATTTGATGATAACAAGAAAGATAAATATATCAGACAACAAAATAAGATACCTATTTAAGTAGAAACTAAAAATGGCCTGTGATATTATGCCTTGTTTAACTATATTATAAAAAACAGGCGTTACACCGTCTACAGCTATTTTAGAATATGCCATTCCTAATATTCCATCAAATTTAGCGGCAACAAAAGCAAGTCCAGGTTCACTCATAGCTTCAGCAAACATTTGATTTTTGATTTCTGCTCCTGCAATCTATAAATATTTCTTATAACAAATCTATTGAGATAACAATTTAATGGAGGCATTGTTCATAATACTATACTCAAATCAATATAATATCAGTAAGATCAGTAACTTACAGATACTGTATCGATAGATAAGAATCCAGAAAGACTACCAGAACCATATCGTATTGCAAACTCTGTGCCATTCTTTTTATATGTAGACGATTTATTACTATCATATTTATGATGGAGAACTGAAAAAATATAATTAAACAATTATTTCATCATTCGATTGTTATAAACATGTTTCACTTTAATTTATACATGCTGTTTCATAAATAGTACAATATGATAAGAAATTATTGTATTATGTTTCCTTATTGTTAATTAAAACGATCGTTAATTGTATGTACAATAACGCATTAATAAAAAAAAAAAAATAGATATCTCGATTATATTTTAGTATAAATAAAATAGAATTTTTATTATCGTTTCTTTTTTTTTATCTTATCTTTTTTTTTTTTTTTTTTTTTTTTGATATCGTAAAAGGTTACACTTAAATATATGTACTATATATATCTCCAAGTGAATATCGTAAATACATAATCAGTACAAGAAAACAAAAAGAAACAAGGAAAATGAAAGATAAAACATGTTCTTTACTCTTTTGATATTTCTTATCATTACGTTGCATTTCTTTTTCATTGAAAACGATTATTAATAATAATTCCATTATCATAAATATTTTTCTCTATATCATTAAGACCATATATTTACATGCTATTAAAATGGGAAAAAAGAACGTACATATATAAATATATATATATATACTTACGACAAGCAATATTCGTTAAGTGGCACTTTTTGGATGGTACCCATAAATTTGAGGAGCCTGTATCAAAAACTACACTGAAATTTTGCGGTGGCGAACCGATACTAATAATACCATAATATTGTGCATCAAGATAATTAGATAATGGTTCCGGCATTAATCCGCCATTCAAAAGATGAACTTGGTGCCATTCGGTATCATATTCTTTCAGCTGTGATCGTATGGTTTGAGTCTTGTACATAGGAATCCTCGAATAATGGCCAAAATATTTAATTAATAAAAAACATTTTTTTTCTTTTTTTTTTTTTTCGCTATTTATCGCGTGCTTTAATTATTACATTTAATTTAAATATTTTTATTTACCTTAGTATGTCGTTTGCATTAGCAAACGTTAACAAACTGGAAAGATATATGAAAAGATAATGCATCTTTTCCATATTTAACAGATGGGAAGCACTTTAACTATACAATCGTATTTACGTATTTCGATATTCTTTGTACAGTATCAATTATGCAGGACCACTGACGACTAATTTTGAAATATCACATAGATCCAATTGAATCAAAATTTAACTAGCAAGTCATACAGAAAGGACACTCTTATCGAACTTTTTGTCGCAACCTGGTGACATGCGCCTGCAATTAAAGATATTTCCCATTTGAAATAACTTTCTTTTTATTTTTATCAACAATATTCATAAATTAATATATTAAACTTTATCAGATTGGCAATGAATCCTTATGCATATGTACGTAGTGAAAATATTAAAAAATGCATTATAAATATATATATATATATGTATATATATAATCACAAGTATGGAGAATCTACTCTAGAAATTTGAATTCTATGCCAATGGAGAAACGTAGTGGAACATCTATTATATTCACTTTGATTATTAGGTTTCTTTCATAAGTTTGGGCTATAAATAATACTAATATTAATAATAGCAATAAACGATTAAAATTTTAAATAAACAAATAACGTCAAAATGTTAATTAGGTTACCACAAATTCCATTATCATCTGTACTTAAAAAACGGTAATTTTAATATGATATTACGCTAGACTATTGCTTCAAATTTTGATTCATAACCTTTATGCTATTTCATTTTTAATTTATAAGTCACAGATAAAAATTAATAAAACAAATAGTTTTTTTTTCTTTTTTATTGTATATATTCTTTTTGATATAAATTATCGTGTTAATAATAAATTTGTCGAACGATATAAATTAATAGTATTTACGAATATTTCAATGCTTTCGTATTTATTATATCATCATCATTATGAACAAAAATGAATAGATTAATAGAAATCGTTTTTCTTTCAGCCCCATACAAACAGATAACCTTACTCTTTGGCAAGCGTGTAACTTTACAACTGGTGTAAGAAAACCAAGTGTCACATCACTTCCACCATTGACAGAACCAGTACCTAATTTACCAAAGCCGATTTATTCTACAGCTAAAGAAGAACATCAGAAAACTGAGGTCACAATTTTGTCAAATGGATTACGTGTTGCTTCTGAAAATCGTTTTGGTCAATTTTGTACAATTGGTGGTATGGATTATATAAACTTAATCAATATACATGTAATAACAAAAACGTTATAGTAATGACATAAAAATATATTTTAGTTCTTATTGACTCTGGTCCACGATATGAAGTTATCTATCCCAGTGGAATTTCTCACTTTCTTGAAAAGTTAGCATTCAGTGTAAGAGCCTTAATTGTATATAATAAAAATAACTTAATTGGAACAACATAATGATGTTTAATAATTGTTTAGTCGACGAAACATTTTGGAAGTAAAGATGAAATAATGTTAGCATTGGAAAAACATGGAGGTATATGTGATTGTCAGGCATCAAGAGATACATTCATTTATGCTGCATCAGCAGAATGCCATGGTTTAGATACAGTCACAAATATCTTGGGTGAAATTGTTATGAGGCCCAAAATTACAGAGGAAGAGGTATATTTATAAAATGTATTTATATATATATATATATATATATATATATATATATATATGTTTGTAATATTTATGAAGATTTAACATGATTATTTTTAAAGATATTGGCAGCTAGACAAACAGTTCGCTTTGAAATAGAAACATTGTTAACAAGACCAGAGCAGGAACCTATACTGATGGATATGATTCATGCTGTAAGTAAAACTTAATATTATCTTGCATGAAATGTGAAGCACAATATATACATTAAGTTAAACTTAATCGCAAAAATATATTTTATATATAGGCTGCCTATAGGAACAATACATTGGGTTTTCCTAAGATTTGTTCTGAGGAGAATATAGAAAAAATAGATAGAAATATTCTATTAACTTATCTTAAGCATCACTATATTCCAAGTAGAATGGTTGTTGCTGGTGTTGGTGTTAATCATCAGGATTTGGTTAAAGCGGTCGAAAAGTAATTCAATCGTTCGTGCGTATTTGGATATGTAGCATAGTAAAGCGATCATTCACAAAATATCATATCGCAAGTATTTTCTATATTTGTTGATTAAATTATCCCATTTATTCATGCATGTTTTCAATTCATTTCTTTTAATTTTGTCTAGTCATTCATCAAGAGAAGATTTAAGAAACTTCTTACAAAACTTTATGTTTATTTGAAGCTTAATTATTCGTAATACTAATGTGATTTTATCAAACTAAAGGGTATTTCAAGTTTTATAATTTATTTATTCTAGATACTTTGTTGCTCAAAAGCCTATTTGGGAAGAACAAAATATTGTTTCTTCTGATAAAAATGAATATTCGGTTGATAAATCCATTGCGCAATATACAGGTGGATACATACTGGTAAATTTATATTAAATTCATTACATTGTTTTCAGTTAAATTAAGGATTTAATAACTTTGTTTTATCTTCTACGTATAAATAGGAAGAATGTACTGTACCAGTATATGCAGGGCCAAGTGGTTTACCAGAATTATCACATGTGGTAATAGGCTTAGAGGGTTGTTCGCATCAAGATTCAGATTTTGTTGCCATGTGTGTTTTAAATATGATGATGGGAGGTGGTGGTAGTTTTAGTGCTGGTGGCCCTGGAAAGGGCATGTATACACGTTTGTATACTAATGTTCTTAATAGGTAATATTTAGTATACATTTAAATCATGTAATATTTGTGATTAAAGATTTTAAGTAAAAGAAATGTAATTAATTTGAAAAATATGTTGTAGGTACCATTGGTTATATAGTGCAACGGCATATAATCATGCTTACACTGATACAGGTCTTTTCTGTATTCATGCATCTTCTACGCCCTCGCATATAAGAGAGTTGGTAGAAGTTATTGTACACGAATTGGTTTCAATGTCTAGCAATATTTCAAACAGCGAACTTGAAGTAGGACTGCAAAATAAGATTGCCATAATAAATTAAAAGAAACAGATTTTTTTTTTTTTTTGATAAACTTTTGATATCATTTGTTTTGTAGAGAGCAAAGAAGCAATTACAATCTATGCTGCTTATGAACTTAGAACAAAGACCTGTTGTATTTGAAGATATTGGAAGACAGGTCTTAGCAACTGGTTCCAGAAAAAGACCGGAATTTTTTATACAAGCGATTGGTAATTAGCTTATTATTTGTAAAAATTTATTATAGATTCTATATTCATTATTTTTACAGAAGCGATATCGAAAAGTGATATACAGAGAGTAGCCCGTCGATTACTTAAATCCGCTCCTAGTGTAGCTGCTCGTGGGGAAGTTAGATCAGTTCCATCAATTGCAGATATTCAAACTGGTTTATTAGACGCTCAAGGTCGATTACCTGGTTCTCAAAGCAGATTATCTCTTTTTCGTTAAAAGTTTTAACAAAATTCACACATTTTTTCCTTGGATTTTTAAATAGCAAAGAATAATTTATTAATATACTATTCATTTGTTAAGGTGCCGATCTGTAAAAAGTAATAATCTCTCTTTGTTTTGAAAATCTTTTTGTAATATAATTTGCATTACTGTTATCAGCTAAGAAATTAATAGTACTACACTCCTTTTACTGTGATTTTGTATAAAATAAAACAAAGTATATATTATCTCATATCATTTAAATGTGGTATATATATGTAGATATATATTGCCAATTTATTCAATTGATTATTACATTTATTCAATAGTTCTTTATTTCTCTTCATCTGTAATTCTTAATGATCTATGAATAGTAATTGTGAAATATAAGTAGTAATTTTTTCTTTATAACGGTACGTATGTAAATTCTTTATGTAATTGTTAATTTGAAATAGAAGGAAATATCATAAATGGATCATTCATAGCTTCGATTAATTTTATATCTTAAATATTAAGGATAATAGCAGGACGGGTTGTTAATCAAATTCAAATAATGTGTTTTAGTATAGGCCAATCAGATTACAGCCGCCATGACATTTATTGCACTTGCGCAGTATCATTCAAGAGAACCGTTATATTTGAATGATTCGAATTGAACGTCGTATAATGGATTATATTTGTAATAGATGTTATTGTACAAAAGCCAGAATAGATAAACCATTTAGATTTACACAGTGTAAACATATATTTTGTGATAACTGCATAAAAGAAGGTAATAATCATATTTCTTAATAATAATCAAAGAAATACATTTGTTTTACAAGATGAATTTGTTATATCGTAGTTGCGAGAAAATGCGTAGTTTGTGGTTTCAAAGGGCCTATTTCTTTGCCTCTAGTAGAACCATTGCCAACAGAGATAGCATCCTATTTCGTTCCGTTAAATGAAACTTTAGGATCATTGAGAACAGCAACAAGTTTACAGAATACACAATTGAGCATCATTTTAGAACGCTTTCATGAGATTGTACGTAGTATTTTTTCTTTTGAAATTTATATATTTATCCTTTTATGGTATAACAATAATTTTATTTGTTATTATATTTAAGAGGAGAAAATATTATGATTTGAAGAATCATTACTGTAAGGTTATTCAAAAGACAGAATATATGACACAAGAATGCGGTAAATATAAAAATGATATAGAAAAAATAAAAGAGAAGTTGAATTATCTTAAAGGTGTTAGTCCTAGTACGATATCTACTTCGACTAGTTCAGTAGCTTCTATGGATATACGAAGACTACAAAATGATAGGTAAATGTCAAGCACAATTATGCTTCTTACCTTTTCCATAATTTGGAAGTATATGATATAGAAACCTAATGATCATACATTTGTTTTTATTTCACAGATATTCTTTTGTAAGTAGTTGTATGACATCAGAAGAGTTTCGTGTACCAACTTCTTGCAAAGTACCAAAATCTCTTAGAAAGTATAGTAAAAGCCCTGTTAATACATAAAAAAGAAAATAAGTATGTATATCCATTGGTCTAATGCCAAGAATTTGGATGCTATTATGAAAATTCTTTGCTGACTATAATTTTTTATTTCTTTTTGTTTTCATAATAAATTGAATGATATAATCGAAAAAATAATAATTATAATTAAAAAAAAAAAAAAAAAAAAAAAAAAAATGTGTAAAAAAGCAAAGAATTTCATAATAAAATCAAACAATACAACGCGTCAATTAATTATATTTATTACAGAACGTTTTTCGTAGAAACATCTTGAAATTATCAACTTATTCGAATGTTAATTAATTCTTATTACCGTAGTTTATTATATGAGAATATCTATGATATAGAGATAGGAAAGGAAATTACAATCGTGAATCGCACAAGAAGGTTGGCTCACGTATGAACGAGCGAATGGTCGCGCGCACATGCGACTAGTCGTGGGTAAACTCGCGAGTAGTTTGTGGGCCAGGTTCGCGTTACTAAGAAACAGAACTTTCAGTTTCTTTTAGGAGATCGCGAGTGCAGCATCTCGTTAATGTAACAGGCGCGTTCTGGTACGTGCGTGAAAGTTTCTGTCTTCGAAGCGGCCAACATCTTCCTCCATACAGGGAAGATTATCGAAAGGGTCTGTCGTAGGTAGATAGGTAGGTGTATAATAAGATTATAAATAGACATTTTCGTTTCATTTTATTTCATTTGTATTTATTATTTTTTCTGTTTTTTTTTTTCTTTTACAATTTTATTCTATCTTATATCTTCTTGATATTTTTTTTTTAATTTTCAGGTCTATTGCATTTTATTTATAAACGTTTGTTTATTCCGGTACACTTAATTTCTTCCCAATATTAAGAGTCTCCTTCGCTCGATATTTAGTTAAATGTTAATTTCCAAAATATTTCGAGGCATACGTAATACAAAAAAATGATAATATAATAAAAAAAAACGATTGCGTCGGATTAATTTCTTAATTGCGTGCGAGAGAAAGAGCAATGCATTTATGGTAAAGCATGGAGTTGGCCGGTTTATCGCTTGCATCAGTTTCATCGAATGTAACCGGTCGCGAAGTAGTTTTCGAAGAAGGAACAAATTGAGATCGGTATAAGAACAAAACGTAATGTTATCGGTTTAGTGACTTTCGAATTAAAAAAGGTTTTCTAACTTAGGATTTAACAAGAAATATTCCGAATAAGTATTGCTTTTATTGTTGTACGTTAACGATTGTTATGGAGGTAATTAGACTCTAAGTAATTATTAAAACTAACATAACAATTCAAACATAGACGTACCGAATAGGAATTTTAAATCATTACCACATTTATTTTTATTACGGCCAAAGGATCGTATTTGCAAATGATTTATATAATAATTAATAGATAAAGTAAAGTATTCTTTTCATGCTATTTCAATATAGCGCGGCTAATTTGAAATTTCTTTTTCCATAGAAACTATAGAACGAAATGTTACTTTGCAACATATCCTTTCCTTACCACGGTAACATTATTTATATGAGTCAAAGACATATCGATTTACTTCATTGGTAAGCACTGACCGTGCAAATCGTAATCTTGACTACTTATTCAGTCATAATCTTAAGACCAATCGAACGAAGTCAATTTCATTTTCACGACTCTCCCTTTCGTTTAGTCTATACACGTACCTACTTACGTAGAATATTCAGGGTTCGCTGAGCGCGATAATTTGCAAGATTAAAGAGCGAGATATTATGAAGGTAGTGGATCGTAATTCATTGAGAGATAAACTGTTTAGAGGTATTTCGAGATCTTTGAAAGGTCATTACGAAGAGGCGAGTGAATTTTAATTATTTCAAAAGATCTTTTTTTCTTTTTTTTTTTTTTTTATTTGATACGAAGCGACGCTAAAAATAACCACTCGAAATTTAGTTGGTCGATTCATCGAAAATCAACAGACCTTCGTTTTAGTTCGTTCATTGCATAGATATAGATATTGCCTCATTCAGAAAGATTATTTGTATTGGTATTGTTTGGTACGGTTTGAGAGGTCGCGTTTCTATAAATTGAAAGTTTTCGTGCATGACGTCGTAAGAAGACACGGATGCCACTTATCGATACAACTATAGTATGCCGTAACTTAGTTTTTCTATGTGAAACATGGGACAGGTTTTTCTTCGGTATTAAGTAACGCGGTTCGTTTCTTCTTCCAAGTTCTCGTTTTCTACTTTTGATCGCCCAATGGTCAAGCTATTTCTAGCCACCGGTTAAAACCTACAGGATAACATAACATATTCTATCTATAAAACAGATTCTTTCGTTCGTACAGAGATAGTGGAGTCGAATAAAAATCTCTCTCTCATTATTATAACCATCATTTCAAAGGTATATCGAAATAATAACTTTTAATTTCACCGGATGAGCCATTGCACAAGGTCACTCATATGAATCTAAATGTAAAGGAAAGGAAAGAAAGACGTAGAGAAAGTGAAAGACGCAAAACGAAATACATACGACTGATAAGGATAAGAGGAAGAATTTGAAGGACGAAATAGGAACGGAATGAATAATTTTCGAAACGATGACCCTCCTTGTCACGATGACATCGAGGGTTACGAAATTACAAGAAGCAGATAGCTGCTCGTACTCCTTGGTAATCTATACCTATATATATATATATATATATATATATATATATATATATATATATATATATATATACCTATATATATATATATATATATATATATATATACATATATATATATACATATATATATATATAGGTATATATATATATATAGGTATATATATACACCTATATATATACACCTATAACATATATATATATATATATATATACGTTAGAGTCGAAACATGAGGTTTATTATAACGGCGCCTTACGATCAATGGATCTTCTTTCAAGCTCCCGTGCTTTGGGTCAAAAAGTCAGGGTCGTTCTCTGTGCCTCATTTGTATCTTTCTCAACTTCTTTTTCTCTCTCTCTTTCTCTTTTTTTCTCGATTATCCTCATCATCGAATTTTGTCATTATACGTCTATCTTTATACATCATCTAATAAACCCAGTCCCTTTTCTTTTGTTTAGAAAAACAATCGTTCTAATATCAATTCGAGTAATATCAAAAATATTATTTCAATTATAAATATTTAATTTTATATATAAAAATTAGTTTGCTTAGAAGAAAGTTTTTCTTTTAAGGAAGAGTTTCGAGTTTAACCGTTGCAACTTATCTTGCATGTTGCATGCCATAAAACAATTAAAATTACGTCCTATCTTCTATATTACGTTCTAAAGTATTGATAATAAATAAGAATTTTCTTTCTAGGCGTATTTGATTCAGTATAGATTTAGATTTCCGGTGATTGTAAGGAAGCGAGGATGTATAATATCATAATCGTCGATGTTTCTTTTGATTTGATACTAGAAAGTATAAGATGAGATATTTCATTTTCGAAAAATAATTGGCATAACCGGAAGACACTTAAAGAAGATATAGTTTTGCAATGTCTAGTTTAAAATATCATTCGAAGTTTATGTATATATGTATACATATACATATATATATATATTAAAAAGTAGGTTGAATCTTTGCGGTTTATACTTTCTAAGATTGGATTAGCCATCGGTATGAACGATATAAGGATGTCATCTCTAGAATGCGTGAAATTTTAACCAACTATCAACGTACGAACGGAAGACTTTCTACAATTATTGTGAATGAGAGTGATAGCTGTCGAATGTTTTTATTCTTTGTACATATTTATATATATATATATATATACTTTCAAAAAATATATATAGAGAGATGATCAAACTTTCAACCAACGAATTATCATTTTTCTACGAAGCTTCGTGAATTCGCTTTCGAGTTTCACGTGAACGCAAACCGTAAAATAATTACCAATGATATTAAGGAAACACATATGATCTTTCTCGATTAATCAAAAGATCCATTTCCCGAAAAGTATTTTTACAAATTCATTAAGTCGTTTTTACATTCGCTGTTGTTAATTACGATTGATTCGTTAAACTTTCCTGTCGTTCCTTCTTGACTTGCTAAGCACGTAGCGAAAGCATGTAGCGAAAGCACGTAGAGCGATTACATGTTCATTCGTATTATAAAAACGTACTACTACTACTACTATTACTACTACTACTATGACGACGACGACGACGACGAGGGAAGATCTATCCTTTACATTATACTGACGTAATCGATGCCTCGAACCTGAAGCGTGCGTATTCTTAACGTTTATAGAGTTGCGAAGCAATTGTCATTTTTTTAATACTTTCTCTGTGAAGAAAAATCCTGGGTTCTTTCGTCGATTGACTTAGAAAAACATTGAAATTTCATTAATAGTAATTTATTATTGAAAGATTTTAACAAGGACAAATAGATAGAATAAAATAAATGAACATAAAAAAGCATTGAGGTAACATTCGATAATAGAAATTAGAAAGAAATTCGAATGGAAATTTTTCGGTTCGATGATTAGCTCGATTAGAAATCACAATCGTGCGTTAAAACTTTCGATGCCCGTGAAAGTGGTCGCGTGGATCTTTTTGGGTCCAGCGACCGCGCCAGCAGCCCGAGGTGAATTCTCTCTTTTTCATTCTCTCTTTTGTTCGATTTATTACAAAGAGTATAAGAAAGAAAGAAAGATATTCTCTTTCCTTTAGCGACGAAACAGGGGAGACGTGTTTTCTCGCGACGGTACTGTTGCCCGAGTGAAAGTCCCCGAGTCAAATATTTTTTCGCGGCTGTGTTTCGTGGACCCGTTTTGCGATCTTCCTATACGACTTCTTAGCGCCTACGTATCGATACTCGATACCTTCGATCTCGCGTATTCTCTTTCGTTCTTATTTCTCGAGGTACGTTTGAAGTTACTTTAACGTAAGATAAAGGGGCACAGCTGTTTTATAACACTCATAACGACAATTATCATGGATGTAATAACACTCGTTGGCACGAGTGCGATGGTGTATCTCGTTGTAAACTCGTTTGAAACTCGTTGAAGGATATTGGCCATGAGAACTATACAGCGTTCTATATTCTAACTAGCGTTCTAACTTGAGAATTAGTCGATAGGAACTTTATGGATTTTATGGAAATACGTATGAAATTGAATCGAAGGGAAAGAAACGGCGGCAGGAAATTGTTAAAATCTTTCGTGTTCGATCAACGTCCAGATCGAAATCTTGATCGTAGTCTTGATCGTCTCTCGTTCGGCTTTTGTAACTGTTTGTCGATCGACATTCCAGGGTGCACCGTGTGTAATACGTAAACATCGAGGAGCGGGCCCGACAGGACGGTGCCGACGTGAAAGTGGTCGGCTGGAAGTGGCGGAATGCGGAGTGTCGGCCGCCGCACAACGTGTACGTTGATCAACGCTACTAGCTAATTGGACTATGTATCGTTCGCCTACTCCTCCACTTTTATTGTACTACTATATGTATTATATATGAACTAGAAAGAACGATAATGGCGTAAGACTCTTTACTTTTCGTTCATCGTTCCATTCGACTACTCTCGTTAATCGTATCGTACCGTTACGTACTCTTGATCGGAATTCAAGTAAATGATAGATACTCGAAACTATCTAACCATCTATTTATCGATCGATCGATCGATCGATCGATCGATAAACAGAATACATGAATTTCGCAAGAATAGAAGGAAATTTACGGAAGAAGAACGACGAATCGAATCGTGTTTATCTGGGCCATTAAAGAAAGCGTTACGAGGTCGAAAATTTTCTGCCGTCGAGAAGATAAAAAGAAACGGTGCTACGAGAGGGGAGTAAAACGGGCGAAAGATACGCGTCGTATAAACCCTCGTACAGATAGGTGCGTGGGATCGACGTATTCTAGATTTATATTCCTGAGATTCGTCGAAGAGTGGTAGAGGCGCGAAAGGGGAAAAAGATTTTTCCCAGAGAGACAGGAGGAAAATAACGAAGGATTTTATCCGCGAGTAGAATGGAGACCAACGTTGGTACGTTGTTGGAATTTCACCATAAATGTATTTACATATCCCAAGAGATCGTGCGACTTTTGCGACTCTCTTGTGCCTTGATTTACGACGGAGGCGTAGGAATATTCTATCGATGCAACTCGCTAAAAGACTCGGAATATGCGCTATCGCGACGTCGATTACATTGAAAAATAATTCTTCCTTCGAATTCTCTTGCAATTTTGTCGTAGATACGACGATGAACCATTGAGATGTTTTTCTTTTCTTTCTTTTTTTTTTTTTTTCGATCGTTCGATCGACGATACCTACATACATTCTCATACTTATTTCTATATACGATTCCGACCAAAGCAAGTTCCGAGCTTTATCGTGGGTTTTTCGTTCGAGAGTAAAACATTAAGAAAAAGGAGGCGATATTTTGTATTCGTGTCAGCTTATATGGAACGTCCCGGATAACGTAACGTGAACGCGAACGCGCTCGTACCTTCGCGCTGTCCAATTTCTTGCGTGAACATGACGAATGTGAAAGCGACCTTGAATCGCGGATCATCTGCCCGCATCGATAAATATTTGGGTGAAAGATACTTTCGGCGTGGACTCAATGACACAAATCTATAGGACACTACGAAGATTACGAGGAGAACGAGTCTCTATCAATCCACTCCACATTATTGCCGATCGATTCGATTTAATTATCGTCTTTGATTCGCGATTAACAGTATCACGTTGTATTAGAGCCGTTAATTATTCGTCTTTTTTTACAAAAGTCGTGTCGAAGATGTAGAACGAAGATAATCGCGAGATTACGTGTTCTCGATCTTTGTTAGACGTGTTACGTGTTCTACACATATTACACATATAATTGATCTAATCCTCGACGAAGGAGGACGTATAAATCGATTCTTGCAAAATAGAACGAGTAATATGCGTTATATCGTGTTTGCAATAAATATTTCCCGCCTTCTGAAAAGCCTCTTGCAAAATAGATATATCGAGAGAGCTAGAGTGAGAAAGAGAGAGAGAGAGAGAGAGAGAGAGAACTTACGATGGTCTCTCGAGTTCTCTTTTTCTCCCTAGTTTACGATTACGCCATTGGCTTAGGTGTCTGTTTATAACATGGTTGAGAAGGCAAGAAGAGGATGGGGGAATCGACGAGGTGAGAATACGATAATCTCCTTCGTTCGTTCGCTCGCTCGCGATGTCACGACGCGTATGGATGTGCCGTGAGCCATTACGACACCTACGAAGTTGCCAAGACAAAGGAGGAGGAATTAAAGAAGAGGGGAGAAAGAGGAGGAGAAGGTAAAGGAGGCGAAGACCAGTAGGAGCGACTCGTCGGAATTCAGCTGGATCATCGATCACAAATCATAGCTCGCGTTCTATCTACCAACGACGAGTCACGACGCGTGATCTTTTCTCTCTACTTACTTTCTTCGCTCGTTAACGCGATCAAGAAAAATATCTTCGCACGTTCTGACGAAAAGGAAAGAATCTCAGCCTGAGAGAATTTTTCTTTCTTTCTCTCTCTCTCTCTCTCTCTCTCTCTCTCTCTCTCTCTCTCTTTGTTTTCTAAGTGTCAAAGATGCGTCGAAAAAGTTGCTGAGAAACGAAACCATCGAATAACGGATACGCTTTGCTTGAAAGAAAGGCAAGAATCTAATGAGCATTTTGATTGCAAGACAAATCTCTGATATATATATAAAAGTGTGGATTAAGACAAAAGAAAACAGTGTCTTAACGATCTCTGTCAGAGATGAATTATCGTTTCTTGATCTTTTAATTGTAAGAAGCGTTTGTTCTTTCATGTTGTACTACCGCTTCTCGTAGACGGGGTCTACGATCTTTGTGATACACGCTTTTACAACGATTAATCATTGTGTGTCAGCACGAGCATAAATAATAGCGTTGCTACATTGACGAGTTTAGAGGATGCGGTGCGGCTTTGTGCGTTCTCAATGATCAACCGATATATGCTTTAGTCGTTATTGTTTTGTGCTACCGTTCGTAGATCCAAATTTATTTATTCTTTTCTTTTCTTTTTTTTTTCTTTTAAATATATCGTCCATTTGTCATCGAATTTTTTCTCGTGAAAAATAAATCCTGTATAAAAGACGCCGACTAAGTGCATCGACATTCGTATATATTTACGCGTCGACTGTCATCAGTGCACACGTACGTACAAGAAAAATAAAATAATTGATTGTAATAAGAGTCATATGTGGAAACAAGTTAGCATCGAGTGACTTTATATCAATATTTTTCAACTCTAAGGTCCAGCGTGCTTGTATTCAATACGAACGTCGATCTCATAGTGAAGTTTGATTACGAATTTATCATTTATTTGATCGACAGATGTTATTTAATCTCGATAGGTTATTAAGATTTACATCGAAAGCCGACACTCGCGTCGTTTATCTTTTGCTCGGAAAAATCCGAGTCCAACCACGCAAAAGTTGTTCGCGTCACTGTTGAATAATCGTACGTGCAATACGGTCGTAGTCTTTCGGTTAAAACGCCACGGTGCAGCTGGCCTTTTATGAGCAGCCACAAAACTCTGACTCGTGATCGTTCCTACGACCATCATTATGCGGTTAACGAAGCTATAAATAGGAATTATAAACTATTTTCAGTATGGCAACAGCAATGAACTTTGCTTTCGAACGTACCGTACCCACGACCAACGGAGTTATTTCATTTTGCAGGAGGACAAGTGCGAACGTCGAGAGGAAGGAAGAAAAATGTTGCGATGTCGGTGATGATAGAAGAGAGAAGAATCGTGCATTACAAAGACGACGGTAGGTCGTTCTAAAAGAGCATGCCGCGGTGGTTACTCGCCCTGGACGAACCAGCATCGAACCCATGCGGTAGCATTGTTATCGGCCACGAACCATCGGGGTACGATCTCCCGACTTTCACGAAATACTCTTCTAGAGAGGATTCAACTTGTGGAGGACGTAATGGCGACCTTGCGCAAATTACGCGGCACCGCTCGAAAGCTGACGTAACGAGCTTCGCAAAATTCACCGCTAAATGTTTCAAGGACGTACGGGAAGATTATCAATTTCTCATAACATTATTAAATGGTCATGAGGTTTCTCATTCCAGAGATACGATCTATTAGACCTTCTTTTTTTTTTTTTTTCATCGCTCAGGGTAAATCTAATGAGTCTTCTATAAAGATTACCGATGACCTTTTAAATAAGCAATTCCGCTAAATGATTCTCATAGTGCATAGATACATACGTACTTTTCCTTTTTGTCTTTACGTCCTTTATCTCGTTTTCCTCGCGTTAACCGGCAGGAATTAATAATTAATCCGTCTTGTAACGAGCCGTTTGAGTCTCAGGTTAAACTGTTGGACCGTATCAGGGGATGCTCGAACGCGAGAAAGTCCGTACCGGTGCCGCAATCACAACGGCCTTGACAGTCTCAACTGGGAACCGGATCAGTCTAGACGGCGTCGTTTCATCCCTGCAATTACCGAACGATCGGTACGCCTGTAACCCCGATAGCATTTATTCAGTCCCTAGAAACGATCTTCACGAAGTGGAATGGTGAGAATATATTTTATTCTCTTTTCTTTATTTATATTTATCTTATCGGAAGGAATGTAAAAAGAATGAAAGTAAAGTTTTGATCGTTTTGGATCGCATGATAAAGTTCCAAGTGGATTCCCTATTAAAACTTTTATATTCCTTTTTTTAGGGTAGAACCTGATTCGGTGGATGCCGAAGTATCAAGATTAGTAGCAGGATCGTCGACAACGACGACGACGACGACGATTACGCGAAATAATCCAAGACGATGTTGCAGAACTTCGACCAGTTCGGGCTACTCGAGCCACTCGCCGCCTTTATCAGCAGGTTCCTATTCCTGTTACGCGTCTGCTGTACCTGGTCAGAGTATTTTTCGTTCAACTGCTCCGCAAACGATGAAAGATCAATTCGGAGGAGGTCTCGCAGTGATACACGAGGGCGAAGCAATTCCACGTCCCATATGGCCGTCTGTCTTTACCAACGTATCACAAGAATTCTATATCCGCGATGACGGCAAAACCGAATACGATAGTTAGTAGCTCTATTCGTTTAATATGTGTCAATGTAAGCATAAATATTAACGATTAGATGTTTTATAAATTATTTCTTGTCTCATAGGAATGTACACGTGTTGCGGATGCGGTTGTACGTACACTTATTCGTGCTACGATTGGAATTACGGCCGACCGACGGGAACGTCAGCGCGCGAGATTCTTTTAGAATTATCAAGGACATTGAACTCCGTTATAGAAGGTGAGACGACGATGACACCCGAAGAGATTTTACAAAATATATCGAAAACCGTGGCTCAGGGGATAAATCTGAAGAAGAGTAGTATTTACGAGTACGTACGTCACAATCCAGCATGGTTGAATGACGGAAAGAACGCTTCGTCAATTTTGAGCAGTAAAAATTCGTCACAGTCGACTGGAAAGGATTCGTCGTCGCTTCAAAGTCGTACGAAACACTCGTCTTCCTCGTCATCGACGAGGGTAAATCCGGTGAATTCGAAAGTTTACGGTAGCACCCGTAGATTCTATAATTCGGCTTGGTCAACGTCTAGATGTACCTGCGATCCATCTAATAGAAACGTCGAATCATCGAGATGCAAAAAGACTAGGCCGGAATTGGAAAAGAAGTCGTCTTCAAGTACGGAGATTCATTGTCAAAAACCATTGGGTTTGTGTACCTGTAAATGCTTTAAAGACTCGACTCAGCAATCTAGAAGGAAACAGAGTACTTGTACCAGTGTTCAGATCGGAGATAGTGAGAAACAGTCGATCGTTGGACTAGACGGTTTAAATCAAAATCGAAATGGTCTTGTTTCTGATGAACCAGAATACACGATGGTGAGTTCGTATAGGTTTGATATCGAGATTAATGAATTTAAAATTGCTAATTTTTTCGACGCTCCAATTATCATTTTAATGAACGAGTTTTCGTATCTTTATACGACCGGTTCTTTCTTTTTTGCAATTATTTTTGCAAAGTTGGCTTTGTTTTAACACGAGCGCGTTTCTGTGGAAACAGAATTGTTATTAAATATTATTTTTGTCATATGATTTGATATTGTTGTCAAAGTTAGTTAGTTGCTCGATATCCAGTTGTAGCCATTTATTTTTTTTTCTTTTTTTTTTTTTTTTTCTGTATAAAAACTATCGTCAATGTAACCAACGCGTAAAGAGCGATGTTTCAGCAGTTGGAGTGTAGCGACGGTGGTTCCTCGAACGAAGGGATAGTTGTGCCGTCGACGAAAGGTGCCTGGAATCATCACAACACGAGAGGATTCATCGGTGATTTGGATTTCACGTTGGACGTCACGCGTGCCGAACGTTTGGGTCGAGCGATTGCGAAAGCGAAAAGGAATCGGCAATGGTGCAGAGCTCTGACCACTTTATTCGGACTAGTCTTTTTTGTTTTAAGCGTCGTTGTCGTTTCGCTGTCGGTGACAAGGGGTCGAAAAGTTTTCGGTAGCATGTGAAAAAGCTCTTTTTTAAGGAACTAAAACGTCTTGCGACTGATACTCTTTGCTAAGTACGTATTTCTCAGTACCTTATACCAGTTAAGTAAAAATCCGCAGGGTTCAGGAAGGGTCCTGCAAGCAATATATGGCTGTGACCATGTCCTTGTATATCTTATGTTTTAAATGATGTGTGTATTCCGAAAGCAATGGCATTAAATAAAGAGAAGACGATAAGATATGATTCTATCATCTGGCGAGCGGAACGACTATGTTATCGTATAGTATAATCTTTAATGGTCTGATAAAGTTAAAAAGAGTCTTACGTACCATCCCTTCCTCTCTCTCTCTCTCTCTCTCTCCCCTACGTTACAAATATATTTCACATATCCCTACTCTCGCCCACGCTCATAAATATACTCTGGCAAACGGATTGAAACTTCGTTAGAATCGACACGAGGGGACGATCTCTCACGTCTCGTTTCTTCTACGCTCGAGAGACATTCTCAGCGTAAGTAGAGGCTCGTTGAAATATAAAAAGGAAGTAGAGTTAATATAAGGAGGAAGCATAAGTATAAGGAGGAACGCGAAAGATAAGATAAGAGAGAGAGAGAGAGAGAGAGAGAGAGGAAGAGGAAAGGGAAGAAGAAAATGGGAGGAAGCCGAAGAAGAGGAAGAAACATAAGGGCCGCATTACCGAAGCGTTACCGAAGCGTTACCGAAGCGTTACCGAAGCGTTACCGAAGCTTAACTTGTCGCGGAAATCGAAGCTCAAATTGAAATAGATCGATCAGTAAATAGATCGAGCCATCGGAAAGCACGACGGGACACGGAGGAGCCGTGTATTTGCGTCTTGTAAGTCGAGCGTCGGTGATCGAGCCTTCTGGCAAAGCTCGTCGTGACACCGTTTCGGTGGACTGCTCAAGCCGGGCCGTTGCCCGGGCGCGTTTCGTTGCGTTTCATTCCGTTGCGTTTCGTTGCGTTTCGTTGCTTCGCGCTGAACGAAGAAAATTCACATTTCTACCTTTTTCACTTTGCTTTCACGATTTCGATCGTCTTCGAATGCAGTGATCAACGTTATCTTGTCAGTGTGCTCTCGCTTGCACTCTTAATATTTTCTTTCTGGCAAGTACTTATCATCTATAGCTCTCTCTCTCTCTCTCTCTCTCTCTCTCTGTCTCTCTTTTACTCTCTCGCATACGTACACCCTCTTTCGTGAATTATATCGGAAGAATGATAACTCACGTGTGGCAAACAATATTGCGAAGCTTACGTAAGGCATAAGGGAAGGGATGGGATGTCTTCACGTGACGTTGTCGATTCTGGACGCTGTGAAACATTCTTAAGATATCGTGCAGTTTTAGGATCATCGTTTCAAGGAATAACACAGTTCGAACGCTCGTGTTTGAGATTTATGAGAGTATCGAAAGAAGAATCAGCCGTGTAGGATGAAGAAGGGGCCGTTGACTTGGAACGTAAAATAGCTTTCTTCAACCTGACGTAGATTAAACTCGTAGGTCCAAACGTGATAATAAAGAAAACACATTCTCCCCGATCGTATGTGTAGAAACGATCGATCAAATTTAGAGAGAAAATAAAAATAAAACAAAATAAAGAAGAAATAGTATTAGGGTAAGGTGTAATAGCAAAGAAACATATAAACGATCGTGATTAAATGTCTTTATTTAGAAGACTCTTGCAGGGGATTATGCAAAATAAGTTCAGACATACATAGCAGGTACATAAAGAGAATGTTTTGTGTAATATGAATAATGACCAACAATTGCCGTGTGTCTCATTTATCTCGCACTTATACTAATGACGACTACATTCGTGCTTACTTACGTCTATTTCCGCGTACATAAGACGAATTGGTCGAGTCAGCCGGCGAAAGGTCGACCAGACTTTTCCTTTTAGTGTGCAACCAGCGAGATACATTAAAAAGTAAAAATAATTTTTCTCGGTAAAACGATCGCGAACTAATCGAATTGATTCTTTTTCCATTTTGAAAATAAAAAAATAAAGAATTTTCATTCTATCGCATTATAAATTATTAATTAGATATAAATTTTAAATAAAAGATGCCATTAGTATTCATCGAAGAATTTGTACTCCTGTTTACTCTTATATATCTCTCTCAATCCTCCTACGCGTTCGTTCTTAGTAAACAGGAAGAAGGAAAGATCGATGATTAAAAATAGAGATTCCTCCTTGACTTCCTTTCGCATGAATTATTTGTTGTTGATTTCGTTTTAACGATGTCATATAATTTCCATCTTATGTTTTATGGGACATGGGCAGTGCTTTTGTAGAGTAGTTAACTAACGGATACTAATCTTATACATATTAAACGTAATTTCAGATGTAGATCAGCATGGCGATTAACATAAAATTTACAAAATTCGATAACACACCATGGGGCTTTCGATTAGCGGGTGGCAGCGATTTTCCACAGCCATTGACGGTCATCAAAGTACGTATTTTATGATTAACGATAACAAATTTGTTAAGTAAAACACAATTGATCGTTTAAATACGATCGAACGGCTTTGGTATTTAATGTTATTTCGAGCCAAAAGTGTCATCCAAAAGTGATGCCAAGTTTTAGTAAGGTTTACACCGATCCTGACGTTAATTAGAGTTCAATGGACGATCGCGAGCATATACGACCCCGTATATTTCTATCCGTAACATTTACGTCAATTAATCGAATTTAAGACTCTCTCGGATTCGATAAATTTTGGCCGTTCCATTTGCAGGTTAACGAAGGGAGTCTTGCAGAATGTATGGGTATAAAAGTGGGCGATGTCGTGGTAAGATTAAACGATCAACCGATCAGCAGTTTGACGCATGGACAAGCACACGAGGCTCTCAAACTGGCAGGCAACAATTTCGTTCTTGGTGTACAAAGGTAAGTATCTTCGCGAGACTTCATCGATACGTTCGATGTCGACGCGATAAAACTTGACAATCACATTTTTTTTTTACTTTCGTCACCCCGAAATCCATAATAATGAAGAACTATCTTCTCGGTCGATGAAATAACAACAACAACAACAACAACAATAACTTAGTTATGGTATACATGTGCGTACTAAAGAATATCTTACGGATAGCAAGCTAACAGCCACGAGTCTGGAAAAACGAGTCAAAGTGCACGCACGCTTGTCACTCTCTCTCTGGCTTTATATATAATCCAACGTAGCCAGAATATCCCGGTGCGTACAAGAGTCTACGTGTGGCAATGTATTGCAACCATTTATAAATAGGTGACCCAGAATGAAATCTGTTTATCATTGGTCGCTGGTAATTTTATTACTGGCTTTTCATACCGCACTCGCGTCACCCCTCCTTCTCTACCGATTCTTCATTACCCTTTGGTTCGCGCTCGGGATCACACGAGAACGAATAAACAAAATTTAATATCGGCTAACCGTGTATTTTAAGGAGCTAGCTGTAAGTCGAAAAGTATGAGATTTTAATAAGCTGAAACATGATATCATTTCTCTTCGTTCTTTTTCTTTTTTCTCGTTGTAGGGAGGAAGAAGCTCGTAAGGCTCTCGAGGCTATACCCGACGAGAACATTGTCCCGTATAATATTTCGGTGAGTTAACTCGTTGGACTTTCTCTTGTTTCATTCGTAAGAACAAAAAAAAAAAAAGAAAAGAAAAGAAAAGAAAAGAAAAGAAACAATAAAGAAGAATCGATCGGATTCATCGATTCGAATCGAAGCGTTAAATTCTTCTGTCATAGCTCGCAGATTTGCCGCCAGTTTTCCCGGAGAAAATTCTGTCGGAAGAGACGATTTTGGAGAAACACGAGGTAGTGATCGAACGTTTACCGACCCCAGATAAGGCTGAGGAATTGCCGGACAAGCCGAAGGACGCCAACAGCGAGATTATACCGAATCAGAATCTCACCGACGAGGAGATCGCCCAATTGATTCTCGAAGAGGAAGAATTGCTTCCCGATAAGGGAGTATTAGGGTAAATCGTGTGTAATATTGATTGAGAGATTTGGAAAAAAGATTCGTATATATAGGAGAGATCGATTTGAATGAATCAACAGGGTGAACTTCAATAAGCCCAAGCCTCGCGCTACAGTGTTGAAAAGTTCGAAGGTTTTGGAGGAGCTTCAGCACATCGCCGCAGCTCCACCACCGGACGTAGAGGAACGTCATCACATTTCGACCTTTTTAAAGAAGCCGGATCGACCTATACCGAAGGCTAAATCTCGAGAACCATCGGAGGGAGAACCGTACAGAGTAGTGATAAAGAAGCAGTCGAAGAAGAGCGTGATAGCACGTTTGGTGGAGAAGGGTCTGATACCACCTGGAAGCCTCGACACGCCTGAACCAACGTCCGAGGTAAAGATGTACGCCCCCGAGGAATCTAACGAAGAATCTAACGAAATTGGGACGGCCGTCCACGAAATCGATGTCCCTAAACTTCTACCACATTCGATCCGATCTAACGATTTCCCAAATCCCATTGAAGAGCCTACTCTCGATCTCGTTTCCGTTAAAACCTTGACTACTAATCCGAATCCTCCCACGTGTCTTCCTTCCTTAACTCTTCGTCGATCGACGATCAAGCCAAAGCGTCTCTACACGAGAGCTCGTTACTTCGAGAGATCTCTCCTCGGATATCGTAAGGATTCCGACAGAGTCACTCTCGCCTATCTTCTCGAACTTATTCTGGGAAAATCTTCTCCCAATGGGACGTTCGGACGGATAAGAAGGAAGGGCCGTTACATCGAGACTTATCTCGAACGGGAGGACATCTGGTTCAAATCGATGTTTAAGGTTTTCTTTGCTAAAAGAAACGATATTACGAAGGGAAGAAGGTTCAGCAAGCCTCGATACGCCGAGCGACTCCTGACGACGAATTCTCTTAGAGGAGAGCTCGTTGAGAGAAGGAACACCGCGAAAATGCAAAAACGACGTTTATGTCCTAAAGCTCGATATTTTGAGCGCGTCCTTGCGAAAGACGTACGACGATTGATCGAACTTATCAAAGAGATTTCTATTCGCGTAGATTTAGGAAAATTCTTTATTGGCAGTAACGGGAGAGAGATTAGACAGGGTGCTAGACGACGTTCGAGTTTGATCAAGGTCAAGGGTCATTACTTGGAGCGTTGTTTAGCTCGACAAGACTCCTCCGCTATAGTTTCGACGCTTACTTCGACGCTGACGGGTCTTATCGAGTCAACGAAACGTCGATCGTCAGAAGTTGCCGAC